AATAACAGTCTACAGAAAACAATTCCCCCTCATCCATAAAGCGGTAAAATCGGGGTCATTTCTGGGGACGGCTTTAGCCGGGGACAGGTGGTCCAAAGCGGGGACTGTCCCTGGAAATTGGGGACATCTGGTCGCCGTAGTCTTTCAGCTTCTCCTAATCTGGTGGATTAAACAGTGTTAAACTGAATGGTGGCTCATTTTCCGGGTGTTTCTCTCTTCAGCGAGGAGTGTCCGGTTTCCCTGGAGACGCTCTCTCTATCGGATCCTCCCCCAGCCTCGCTGCAGCTTTCCAAGGACTCGCCTGTAAACACGCAGCCCGACAGGAAGTAAGTGTCCATGTAGAAGATGAGGATTAAATGTTTTGTGCTGGATGATCTGAGCTTCCTAATGTTGTGTGAACAGAGAGGACTCTGCACAGACCCAGGAAGTGTCTGTCAACGGGCCGGTGTGAGGACGGCACGCCCAGAACGCCATCAGCGGCGGCGCCGCGGCGTCGGCCTCCTCCAGAGTGACTCTACTTAACAGCCTCACTGCAGCTTCAGTGTTTTACTGGATCACTCTGCCACCTTATTGGACCTGGACACTGCCACCTAACTACCAATTGGAGGGGGGGGGGGGGGTGCAGCAGACCCAGCAGAGGAAACCCACCCCCCACCCCCACCCCACCCCCAGATGTTGCACACAGACGAGTGCAGCTTTAATGTAGCAGCGACCTTGGACCTGAAGGAGAACATCTTTTTAACGCCTGAAGGTTTCCTCCTCCTTTCAACTGATTGGATTTTCTAGGCGGCGCCGGGAAGATGGCCGCCCGCCCGCCCGCCTTCTAACCATAAACACCACATTTTATTTTAAAACCACGTTTCTCCAGCTTAAAAAGCACTTCTGTCGGCTGTACGTGAAGCACAATGTTCATCTCCGCTGGCCGTCTCATCTGTCCTCCATCTTTCTTTGGTTGTTGGTAATGAGGGGGCGGGGCTTGAACCGTGCTCTAATAGTATTACTGTTTCTGCTCATGTGCAATAATGTTGGTTTCCCATTTTATTTTAAAAATTAGAAAAGTTTGAGCATTTTTTTAAAGAATCAGTTGAGCCTGGATTTAGGCGCCAAATTAGGATCTAATCTCAGCTTCTGTTTCAGATTTTTATCTCTTTTGTATTTTAGTGCATGTTTATCAGGTTCTCTGTTGACCTAGCTAGTGAGCTAAGACCTTCTGATTGTATTGAATTTAAAAGATCTGATTGCTTTCCCCCACAAATCAACCAAACATTATCTACCTATATACAAATATTATCTCCATCTAGAAGTCATGTCTGTTCCTTTTCGCTCTCTTCTTGTCGCCACCGAGCACTTCCTGGGCGGGGGGGCCGTCTCACGCTGTCGGCTCTGTTTTCTGCTTTTAAAGCTCCTTTCTGTGTTCAAGCAGCTGAATGAAAGGAGCTCCTCTGCGTTCTCCTCCAGTCATCAGCTTCTATGATTGCTGTTTAAAGCAAAACAACTAAACCGTTGGAATTAAAGCATCTGGTTTACCACTTTAATACCAAAGCTTTTCCTTTGCTGCTTTGCTTCTTGTTTTTCCAGCAGGTTCATCAAGCTGAGCAAAGGTCAGCCTGAGCTGACAGGATCTCATCATGTTTATTTTGCTTTAAGGGATTTTTGTTTTCAGCTCAATGCTAACGTTCACGAGGTGGATTCAATAGCTGGTCTTTTTACAAACAACAGGCTGTGGGTTTGAGTTCAGCCAGTCGTAGTAATCAGCCTGTGAACAGAAAGAATTAAATTCTGGTTTGGATTTGATCAAACTGGATCCGACATCAGCAGACGACCTAAACCTGGAGTTTAGGAAGCTCTGCTTCCAATTTTAATCCAGACCTGGATTTTCAGATTAAAGTCAAAGATTATTTTCATCTGAAAAGAGGAAACTCTGTTTTCTCCAGGTAAGATGCTTCTGACATTCTTTTGTTCAGGAATGCAGCAATCTAAACATTTTGGATCACTCCAGATATTTGAATAAACTCGACTTGGTCCTCTTTCATCCCATTAGTTTTCATTGATGCAGGACTTTGAACAGCAGTTCACCGTGGCGGTGTCCCCTCCCCATTCAAGGTCTGCAATTGGTTTTATCTGCCAAGTTTGTCCACAAAGAATTTAACTTGAGTTCCTCTGAGTTTTGAGACAGTCTGTCACTTCAGCCTCTGTGATTACGTTGGCCACAACATTTCTGTAATAAAAGAAAGATGTTATTGATCTCATGTAATATTCTACTTTCTGAGAATCTTATTTTTAATTGAAATGATCAGACTTAATGGTCAAATAAAAAAATACAATGTAGAAATTAAACTATGGACTTTTTTGATAAGCTCATTTTTAAATGTCCCTATGTCCTCCAGCAGTCTAAGCCTATAGCAGCATAACTATAGAGATAGCTCAGGATAACCTGAGCCACTCTAACTATAAGCTTTATCA